TTTTGCCAGTGTAGAGTACGCTGATATCGATATTCTATTTATATGTGCCTCAGGAGTTGGATTAGGTGTTACGTCCACGCCCAGGTCTCTTTCTCGCGTCGTCACAGGTAGGCAGTTCCCCTTCATTGTGTCATTGTGTAATGTCCCTTTGGTCTCCTATCACATAATCCTATTTCCATAACTTTACATTTGCTCGTGTTGAACTCCAGTAGCCATTTCTCTGACCATCTAAGCAACCTTTTCAAGTCCTCTTGGAGGATCCTACAATCCTCATCTGTCACAACTCTTCTCACCAACTTTGCGTCATCCGCGAACATCGACATTTAGGACTCTACTTCTGTAAACATGTCATTAACGTATATCAGAAATAGAATTGGTCCCAGCACTGATCCTTCAGGTACTCCACTCGTTACTATTCGCCAGTCCGACTTCTCGCCCCTTACCGTAACTCTTTGGCTCCTTCCTGTTAGGTAGTTTCTTACCCGGGCTAGGGCCTTTCCGCTTACTCCTGCCTGCCTCTGAAGGCAGCATCACACACACACACACCTGTGTGTGTGTGTGTGTGAGTTGCCTTCAACAGAGGATAATTTATGGAAATAGACATTATTTATTTAAAATTATGTAAAAACAGCTTACTGAATATAAAAAATAATTACTTGATTAAATAATAGCTCTTCTTTTGGAGTGATCACCCAATCAATACTCTCCTGACCAAACACTCCAAGTCATAAAGCTCTCTAAATTTCTCTAATAAAATTTCTCTAATAAAATCTTCGTGTCACGAGAGACCCAATAAAGGAGACTCTCACACTTGTGTGGCATTACCGCCAGGGGGAAGCAGCGTCCTACATCACCACCACAACACCGAAGATCCACAGGAAGAGTTACGGGGGCGGCCTGCGACGTGACTTATCACTTTGCGATAGTTTCTCCGGCAGTAGAGAGATGCGGGTTGACTATCCGCTTTCTGTTAGTCTTTGCTTTTTGCGGCGGAGGTGACAAGCTATATATATATATATTTTTTTTTGTATACAGATAATTAACTCTTTCTCTTCGCTGGTACAAACATGGCCTCTCATATTTTCTCATTTGTAAGAAGTTCTCAATGCACTTCCTCTGTCGGCTTGCGCTGTGCCGGCTTGCCCTGCGCCGGCTTGCCTTCTTCCGGCTTGCTCTCTTCTCTTTCCTCTAAAACATTGCTCTCTCTCTCCCATCTCTCCCATCTTTCCCGCTCACCATAGTGAATCTTTATCCCTGTATACCGACTATCATCCTGCCCTTTCTCTCTGCCTGTTCTTCCCTTTCTGGAGAGCGCCTGGTGGCCACAGAGGCCGTGGCGGGCATGAGGACGACGCAGAGGGCCAGGCCGCAGCGCCACCGTGGTCGCTGCAACATTTCTGGATCACAATTATGATGGAGCAACAGTAGCCGGTGGCCTGGCGATAACATTTGCAGTTGATGGCTGCATTTAAGTGATTACTTAGAACATAAGTAATTGCTTAGAAAGCAGAATAGTGGCCAGTAGCTAGGGGTGGTGTTGCAGTGTTTCCTGTCAGTTGTGACAGTAGCTGGGGTGGTGTTGTGGTGTTTCCTGTCAGTCTTGTATCCATGTTTTCGTCTGTATATCCAACTCTCTCTCACTTTAATTTTATATTATTTGTATTTATTAGCAGATGAAAACATTCATCTGTTACTTCAGATTATTTTAATATTTCATCTCTGTTCCTTCTATTCCGTTGCCCTTACCACATTATTTGCACTAAGCCAGAGTGTCAGTAAACCATCACTTGCACTAAGCCATAATTCGTCCATAAATTTGACTAAGTGCCTGGCTCGACGCACGGAAACTGGACCTTCCAGCCATATGCTCTTTTGGTGGTAAAAAAAACATGAAGATAAATTAGGATAATGTCACTAGGGTGGGCATGAGTGAGAGCGGCTCGGAGTTACGTTACATTGTTCTGTTATTGCCTTATGGCTGGAAGGCCCCAATTGACGCCAGTAATTCCATCTATCATCATACTGTCATGCAAGAGGAGCCACACATCTATGGTTCATCCAATAAAATCAGCAGACTTCTAGATGTTACTACTGCTCGGCTTAGACTCGGCTACAAGTATCTCTGGGAATTCTCATTATCTCCCGATGTAGACCTGACCAAATGTAAACTGTGTCAACAAAATTATTCGCACACCCTCCGTCACTATGTGATGGAGTGCGAAAAAGATACGTAAGTTTAGAGACAATTCTATAACCAATGTTCCAACGGTGTGTAAATATTTCATTCAAAATGATCTGCTGCCAGAAGTCTTGGGCAAATATCCCCAGTTTGCTAACTGTAGGTAGTAACTAAGTGATTGTAACCTATCCACCGCTGGCCTCTGGATGGGGGGCGGTGTGCAGGACAAACATAAATTGTGACACTAGCTCTCCACATATGTCAGTTGCTTAATTTAGAAACTGTACTTTTTTCGATCTCGAACACATTGTTAATGTGACGACTTATACTGAATTTTGTAACTAGCTCATCAAGATTGTAACTTGCTTAGCTAAATGAATTGTGGGGTTCAGTCCCTGAGCCCATTATGTGCCTCTGTAACCCTTTCCACTACAGCCCACAAGATGGGTATGGGGTGCATAAAAAATGAACTAAACTAACTATCTTCGTATTCTTTATCGTAACATCGCGCGAGTGAGCCCAACATAGCGCGAATGAGCCCAACATCGCGCGAGTGTGAGCCCAACATCGCGCGAGTGTGAGCCCAACATCGCGCGAGTGTGAGCCCAACATCGCGCAGGTGTGAGCCCAACATAATGATTCGCTGCGTTTGTATATATTATGGCAGATGAGAGGGGAGGGGAGAGGGGGGGGTGAACAGGAACAACGTACTGAATAATTTGTATTTCCATGGGAAGGAGAGGGAAGGGGTGGAGAAGGAAAAATAAACAATGCATTGTATGATTTGTATATCCTAGGGGGAGGGAAGAATACAAGAACAATGTATTGTATAATTTTGGCGTTGTTGACTGTCCCTCATAAATTGAATAGTAACGAGGCAATTAAATTATATCTACGAGTGACATGAACCGGCAGGACCTGGCAGCACCTGGCAGGACTTGGCAGGACTTGGCAGCACCTGGCAGGACTTGGCAGCACCTGGCAGGTCCTGGCAGGACCTGGCAGCACCTGGCAGGACTTGGCAGCACCTGGCAGGACTTGGCAGCACCTGGCAGGACTTGGCAGCACCTGGCAGGACTTGGCAGCACCTGGCAGGTCCTGGTAGCACCTGGCAGGTCCTGGCAGCACCTGGCAGGTCCTGGCAGCACCTGGCAGGACTTGGCAGCACCTGGCAGGACCTGGCAGGACTTGGCAGCACCTGGCAGGTCCTGGTAGGTCATGGCAGCACCTGGCAGGACTTGGCAGCACCTGGCAGCACCTGGCAGCACCTGGCAGGACTTGGCAGCACCTGGCAGGACCTGGCAGCACCTGGCAGCACCTGGCAGGACTTGGCAGGACCTGGCAGCACCTAGGAGCACCTGGCAGGACCTGGCAGGACCTGGCAGCACCTGGCAGGACTTGGCAGGACCTGCCAGGTCCTGGCAGGACCTGGCAGCACCTAGGAGCACCTGGCAGGACCTGGCAGCACCTGGCAGGACCTGGCAGCACCTGCCAGGACCTGGCAGCACCTGCCAGGACCTGGCAGCACCTGCCAGGACCTGGCAGCACCTAGTAAATGTGTTATACTGTACAAGAGTTTTCCAAACTTGCGTATGATATATCTGTGAGCATGCCAGTTATCGCCGCCATCTCCCTAGTGGCCTCGACGGGGACAAAACGTCGGTGGCTTGTCAAAGGTCCCTCCGCCCCCCCCCCCCATTGTTCCTATGTTATCTTTTTGTTTCAACTGGATTTTTAAGAGAAATAATGTATTGGCATTTACGGCTTTGGCGGGTAGGCGGTTCCAAG